CGGGAGACCATCGCATCGGAAGGCTGTACCTCGGAAGGCTGTCGGAGCTTGTATCGCACCCAAAATTGTTCCTTAAGGCCCCCGCAACTCGGGCTCGGGATCAGCCAGTAAGGAATCCAGGTGCATGTGGCTTTCCACGTCCGGCGTAGCCTCGCCGTCTGTAGCATAGCCCCGTCCCCGAGACCCAACTTGGCGACCCACGAGCCTACTCCCGACTCGTCCTCAAACAACAATCTGAACCTTCAAGATGGGTGATACCTGTTTGCAAGATCTCGTTGATAATTTTCTGGTCCAGGGAAAAATTCAACTGCAACGACTTGAAACTAGAAGCGATATCTTGCTCCCCACGCAGGACACGGGCTGCGGGTCAACTTCCCCTGTGATCTGGGCTCCACGCGCCTCGGTCGACCCCGAGGTTGAGCCCTCCGGCGGCACGCGACTCAGACCGGACAGAGGAGAAGGAGAGGAGCCGAGAAAAGAGGAGAGAAGGGCAGGTTGGGGGAGGCTAGGCGCAAGCCGACCTACCTAAACTGCACTCGCTGACCACACAGCCTCACTCGCAGCAATCGGCTTACTCCTCCTGCTGCATTTCGCTGCATGTTTCGGTTTGGAACCAGCTCGGCAGGCACCAGGGCTCTTATCAAGCACCTGCAAAATGGGATTGCTGGTGGCGATCATGTCGAGTTGAATTAGCCGGCGACTGCAAGATAGGTGGCCCGAAGTTCACGGAACCTACGCCGGAAAATTCTTGGCCGAGGCCCTGCTAAAGCAGCCATCGCAGATGGGTCGCTCCCATCCGACGGCCTCTAGCCGGGTGCGAGTCTTGCGCGGGTTGTTCAAGCGACGCTGAGCTCCTCCTCCCTGTTTATGTTTGCACAAAGGAACTTTGGAGACCCCGGTGCAAGTGGGATGTGTCGGTCGCGATATAGCCCACCGGTTTGGTGGGAGTGGCCGGCTTCTTGGTCTTCCTGGCAGCATCAGCCATCCAAGCTCCAAGGCTTTTGTCCTGTTGGATGACTTTCGCTATCTCGGTGTCACGCACGCGCAAAATCGACTGATTTGCTTGCTGTGCTGTTTCACCAGCCCGGGTTGCAACTCTATGGCGACCCGCCATGCACGGGCCCAGTGGTACGCCAAACCGGACCTGAAGTAGGCACCAACCGGCGGATGAAGGACTCCCATTCGGTTTGTCTGCCCGAAAAGAGTTCGCCAGTCGGTCGCTGCACCATGCGTCGATCCACAAGTCCGTCATATCATCAAGGTGAGCGAGCCTGGCGAGATCCCTCCTTATTTCCCGTGGCGAGCCGGGAGCAGGCACGAGGTGACGTACAGGCCCGGGCAGGCAGAGCCCTCTGGTATTGGCTTGGAGCCCTTCAAGCAGATGATGGCACAAGGTTGTATTGTGCATGCCGTGGTCTCGTCTGCAGCCATTGTTCGGCGACCTGCTGCCGCGATTGCAGAGCCGACTGCCTTATGTGCCCAGCAACAGACGAAGCCTGAGACGCTCTTGGAAGGGCAGGGTGGACCCTGCCAGTTTATACTGGGTGGGTGCCGGTGGTATCCCGGCAGGCCTCGGGGGAAGACCCACTGTTATAGCTCGTGGCCACGAGCAGCTGAGCCACAGGAGTGAACCTGGACCTTGTTTCCTTGGCGGTGGCGACCCGCCCCTGTCCCCTGTCTTGCCTCTCCGCCTTTCCAGCCTGCGGCAGCGAATGGAGCTTACGACCGACAACTGTCGCGCAAGCAAGCCGAGCCAAAGCCGCCGGCGATCTATGCCAGCCGCCCTAAAGAAGCTGCCCCAGGTGTTCCAGCTGAAGTCCTTGCTGCCAGTCCCGCCACACCAGCCAAAACACGAACCAACCTGGGGTGGGTATTCGCCGCAACCTTTTGCACCAGGTTGTAGAGGTGGGCTGGCAATATGTCGCTGACCGAAAGCCCTGACCAGACACCTCTGGCCTCGGCTTCGGAGAGGCGCACCCTGCGCTGCTCAGCTCGGGCAAAAGCGGCAAGCGTCGGCAGACCTTCCTCGACAAGTACATCCCTCCTGGTAAAGGTTCCGACAAATGGAAATTGAAAGCCACCCCGTCTGCGAGAGCAGCGGGCACACTGCAAGTCTGTGCAAGCAGCAATAGGTGTCGGGGGCAAGGTTCCATCACACTCGGCGGGGCGCTCAAAAACGGGTGGCACATGCTGTATCTCCAACCCTCTGCTCCAATGAACGAGGCATTCAACCCTGTGGCCCGCCTCATAGAGCTCCCGCAGCCGAAGCCGCCAATCCAAATAAGCCCTTGTAGCCAGGGTCTGCCTGAAGGTGTGATAGCCATAACCCTCAACAAGGTTATGCTCATGATCCATGGTGCGGGCACCACCGCAACAGGTTCAACTCCTGAGGCTATCGCACAATCAAATCTGTCTTTTTGGCTCAACTGCCAAAGCTTGAACCAAATGGCAGGATGAACGATAACAAATGATTCATGTGCACCCAAGCCTGCCAAACTCGACACATGATATATATATATATACACATATGTATGTATATATATATATATATGTATACATACATACACACATATATATATATGTGTGTGTGTGTCGTTCTATATGTGTACATATATACCGCTATTATTTACAAGTGTACGGACAAATGCCGAATGTTTCAACATGCCGAAACTCAGGACTCCTCCCCGCCTGTGGCCAGAGGCAGCATCATTCTCAGCTGAGCTCCGGCCTCTGAGAGCCACAGCCGTGAGTGTCCACACGCCCTTGTTGGAGGCGTGATTGGCACCATCGGCTCCAGAGACGCCACCATCTTTGCAGAGAAATCCGCTTTGCCCCAAACGTTTCGCGTATGTTTTCAATGGTCTTGGGAGCCCGTGGTTTCAGTTGGAAGGTGACTGCTGTCTTGACCGTGTGACTCAGCCTGCGAGCATAGGGGTTGCCAGACAGTTGTGGAAAAATATGGAATTGCATGATCCGTCGGCCAGGCCTCTCATCAGCATACACCAGTGGGGTCGTGGGAAGACTAGACTGTAGCCTGCTCAAACTGCCCCGTTCCATCCGCGGCATCCGACAGACATGACTGATGGAACTGCTGCATTCCAAAGATCTTACAGTGACAAGACGGGCAGCGTTGGGACAGGATGTCTCTGCAGCTTCGGGATCAGCCTTCAAGTCGACTGAAGCCACACTGATGTCAGGGCATCATGACATTCGCTTGAGACACTGTCCTCAAACTTCTGACACCTCTTGACAACCGCTGAATACTGGGGATCTGGCCCGAGGCTTCGCAACGGCATCAGCCGCACATCAGGTTCTTGGTCGGAGGCAGCATGTTGACACTCTGGCTACGAGTCGGGGCTACAAACCACGATGTTGAAAGATCGGATGATGTGACGCCGTCCGAGCACCAAGCCCCCTCTCGGTAGCAGAAGCATGTTCCGACACCAAACTGCGGGATACCCTGCAGCGGGTTGCTTTTGAGTTTGGAGGAATGTGTCAGACTACACCAGGATTCGAACTGTGAGGTCCGGTCACTTGGGAAAAGGCGCCTCTGCATGCGTTAAGCCCGGGTTTAAGTACAGGATTTTGCTTCGGATCAAAGTCTGCAGATAGCTTTGCAGTTCACAACATCCTCACGCTGCAGCTCCTGGAAAGCTTCTGGAAATGCTGGCTGCAGAGCTCTTAGCCTTGGAACCATAGAGACCTCCTTCGTGCTGCACGACGACGCCAGCATCCTTGGGAGCAGTTACAGAACGAAGAGGTATGAGCTCAACATCGCCCTCTTCATGGCAGGTTGGGCAAGGGCCCAGACTGAACAACTAAGCGAAGACCTAAGGAGTCTGAGGCGACATCAAGCAATCTTCAGATGTGCAGAGTGGTGGCGAAACTTGAACCAACGGTGCTTGAGTTGGGGCGGCTAAGCATTTAGGACAAGGAGAGGATTACCTAACTCAAGAGCAGAGCGGGCGAAAGGTACATAGACAAAAGCCTCAAGGCGGGCGGTTGAGGGGCGGGTTCCGAATTCAGCCGGGTGAGTTTTGATGTATCAGGAGCAAAAAGCCCTTGCTTGACCCAAAACCGAATCTGCAAACAACAGCTCCTGCAAGCTCCAATGGAGCTAGCTTTCGTGATCATGGAGGCACGTCAACAGGATACCCACAGGATTTTCCGTGCCGGGTGGTGTCCACTCACCCTTTCCGAGTCCGGATCCAAGTGTGGGGTTGCTTTGACTCCGAAGCTGTTCGTATAACCGGCATTCCGGGAAGCATTTTTCCACCTTCCCATTGCTTTCTTAGTCAAACGTTTCGCGAATTCCAGGTGAACAGGACTTTAACACTTATGAAAACCCCCAAGCAAAAACTAGCTACCCTCCAGCGCAACTTGAAACGCAAAAGCTGCTTGTTGAGGCAAGGGCCAGGTCTCCTTTGTTCACGAAAGTGTACATAACCTGTGCGATCGGGCCATACATTTCCATTCAAGCAACCTTCAGAAGGCGCTCAGTGACCTCTTTAGCCCTCAACTATTCAGGTGACCAAACCGAGAATGCTGCGCCCTCGTGGCAGTTGGAGACCTCGATCGTTCCTGTCCGGCAAAAAACTGCAGGTCTGGACTGGCTCTGCGGCAATGCGAGCACGAGCGAGACTCGTGCGGCTGCTTGTGAGCTCTGTGTGAGGATGCCAGGGCAAGTGGGTGCTGAATCGGAAAACTCTTGCTGGAGCGGCTCTCAAATGATACCGACACAGCTCCCGCACAAACCTCGAAGAGAGTTGGTTCAATCAAGGATATCGTAAACTCAGACAAAACGAACACCGGAAATAAAGTCGCGCACCATGAACCTGGATATCCTCAAGATCCAATGCTCCTGGAACAGTCATCCTCTTAATCTTCGCAGGGCGTAGTGTAATTAAGTGCTGAGGGGTTACATAATTCTCGCTTTTGACACTCGCCGTCGGGCAGTGTCTTGTGCTACCTTCGTTGCCGATCTATGAGCTTTCGGATACTCATAAAACTTCGCGGCATGTGACCCGCGTGCCTACTTGCCGGCCAACCATAATCACCACTGGCGGGCAGACCTGGCAGCACGAACGGCACCCGCGCTCCCCAGTCCGAGTCGGCATGCCGTGATCGGGTGGTGCGGCCTTGCCAGGATAGCAGTCCTTGGACAAGTCGAGCGCAGTCTTCTCCTCGTCAAAAACCACCTGTTGGTTCCGGTGCGGATGGCCGCAGTTGAAGGTTCTGCTTCATAGATAGACGCAAAGAAGAAAAGCTTCAGCACACGACAGCTTCCTTTGCAGTTGTTGAAAGCAGCCAAAAAGCATCCTTTATCACATTTTCCCATCAACGGCACAAGACCTCAACCAGCTGTCCCAAACCTTCAGCAACCGTCACCCTCGTGAGCCACACGTGCTGTTTGGGGATTTCATCGAAATCGAAAGCCTTCTACGCCCTAGCTGACACATCTCATATCCAACCAGGCCTCGTAAGCACCAGCCCGCTCCTGCCGCACAAACTCTGGCTGGTTCGGACAAAAGCTTCACTGGAATCAGTTGCATGATGTTGCATGTAGACATGGCAGGGCACCCAAACAAGGTTGCGGAAGGCTGCTCTGCAGCCCAAATGCAAAGCACACAAGTACTTTGTGTTGCAAACCTGTGGGAATGTCAAGAGCTTGAGAAATCCCTTCCGTGAGGAATTTGACAGCAAGGACTGCCAGACTGCTTCCGAAACCTTTCATTATTCGCGCTTGATGGCACTGACGTGACAGCTCTCTTGCTGGGCCACCTCCTGGCCAATGATGTATTTCGCAGCGCTGCTCAGAGGTGCAAGGAGCGCCCACAACGTAAATCCGATAGTAAATCCTGGCGCAAGCTGCTACTATCGCGGCGGTGCCGTGCTTTCCCTGTTTCAATAGTTGACAGTTCTTTGCTGGCTGCTCAAAGCGCAAGTATGCCATGAAATGCCAAATATTGGCCGAAGCAGGGCTCCCGAACTTTTGAGCACACATGAAGCCCTCAGTTCTCACAGGTGAGTTTGGGGCAAACAAGAGTAAAGAACGTGCCGGCTCAAAACGCGGCAACTCGTGGCGGAGTGGCTTCCCAGGAAGCGGTTCATCGCGCCCACTTCGTAACTCCGGATCCGTACGTGTGCTTGAACCCAAACGGCCTCCGAGTGCCTTTCGCCGTTTGCGGCAGCCAAGCAATGTCCTGTGACTGACCCTTGGAGCTGCGCCCTCGAGAGGAACCGCAATGCAGAGCCACTCGAGCACAAGGGACCCACTCGCGAATCCAGAGTAGCCTAATGGAGTTCACTGAATATTTTGCACCGCTGATGCCTAACATCAGTTGTGTAGCAAAGCACAAGTTCATAGGCTCAGGCTCATGGGCTCTACGCAGGCCGTTAATAGGAGAATCTGCGATTACTTCCATCCACACCTTTTCACATAGTCTTGGCTGTGAGACCACGGCTCTCGAAGAAAATGGCGTGTTTCACGACCGCTAGATGCCACCCGATGAAACAATTGGCAGCAGAGCTAACACAAGTCCTCCTGCCCCATCAGTGTTGAGATCATTTCCGTCACACATCTTCACTGGCCACGCGAAGTGGAAGGACAAGACTTCGGTGTGGAAGGAGTCTGTGCGCTCGTTGAGGGACGGGTTGCCGCGCCAGTTCAATTCCATAGAAGGGAAGCTTGCATCGAGTGCGCTGGCAGCCTTGCAATAGGCGCGGCAGCAATCAGAAACAGTTCTAGACTCTGCAGCTTACCGAGAGCTTCAAGCCTGGTTGCGGGGAGCGTGTCGCCGCCACACTCTGACGCTGGGACTGAGCCAGAAATCTGCAACTTCAACCACATTCTGCGTCTAGCTGTCTGCTGCGATTCTTTCGGTTTGCTCTCGCGACGAACGGCTGACAAGGACCGCTTTGGGTCCGAAACATGAGAGACTTCACAAATCTTGCATGTGTCCTTTCACATGAAGCCAAGTTTGAAAAGTAGTTTGTGTGAACAGCTCCTGCATGAGTGCCCATGCTCCTGTTCTAGATTCGGGCAGGGCTGACCCTTCCAGCGGCGGTGGGCTTCGACCGTCTTCACCTTAGCTCCGAAGCCCTTCCCAAAGCTGAAAGACCTTCCAGACACAGAAAGCGGCTGTTCCCGTGTTGATGCCTAGACCTGAAAGCCACGAAACGATGATTCCCGTCTGCGACATCCAGCAATGTGCCGATGGCTTTCCCTCGCGGCTCACGCTGTTTGTTTGGGGTCAAGCTTTAGCATCCTGCGGATCTGCTGACAACCTAAATAAAGTCTGCACGCTGCACCTCGGAACCTGGAACGTGGCTAGCATTTCACCCCACCCCTGAGAACAAATCATGGATCGGCAGCCAGCAGGCTCACTCCAACGCGTCCAAAAGATCCAGCACAGGCTCCAAGGCGACTGGAATATGCCCGCGCAAATAGCTTAGGTTCTGGACTTCAGACACATTCAGAGCTCTTGAGATGTAGCCACTTCGATTGAACTGAAACTCTGGAATGTAGTTTTCTGCCATGTACTTGACGTTCGCCAAGGTGGGTCTCATTGCACGAATCTCGCCAATCTGCTGCCTCGGCCGAGGAATACAGAGGGAAGACGTGAACAATTGCTTCTGGCAAGCAGGTAGGATGGTTCTCGAAAACACGACCCTTACATCAATAGTTCAGTCAATCTTGCACCAGTGCGCTTCTGAAAGCATCTATATTATATATCTACAACTTTCTGGATGCAATGCTTTATCGGGTGCTTAGCAGATTTGGCGAAGCTGCTGCGTTTCCCGCATTCGCATGGCCAAGTCAAGCATGATGTCAGGTGAAGTCCGGGAGATGTCAACCAAGTCCTCAAGGAGGTTCAAGTTGGAGCTGTGAGCTTTTCTAGGTTGGACAAACAATGAGCCCTTCACTACCCGTGCCTCTGGGGTGCAGTCTCTGGCCTGGGACGCAATGCATCGCTCGTACTGCCTTGGTCTCGGGCAACCTTGCAGTACCCCAGCCCCGGCCCTTGCTTTCGGTCAGGGTGCCGTGTAAGGCCACGCTTGTGGGCTTGTAGAAGGCGGCCCGCAGTCACGGGAAGACTGAGAAGCCTGTCCTCGCTGAAAGGGCTGGCAAATCGGGTGGGACAAGTGCCGCAAGGGCACGTGCCTGGAAGGAAGAGCTGTTCAGTGGGAAAGGGTGCAGCATTGCCGGGCTCGATGACTTCAGAATATTATGGAAACATGGAGTCCGTTGATCTCATATTGGGAGCAATTGCACGACCCCCACACTGCCCTTCTGCATCCTCGCAGGTGGTCTTGAGGAAGGTCACCTGGCGCTGGGAGGGTAGCCGGCTTGGTGGATTTCCAAATAGTTTTCTTGCGAACTTCCAATCCAGTCCAATTTTGATTTGCTATCATAGAGCAAACCCTGTCATCCCCTGTCTGTCGAGATCGGACCACTTCAGCTCCGCCTGGTAGTAATCACCTCGGTACTGGCGCTCTAGCAGACCAAAGCACGGAAAATCCCCACGGTCAAGACAGCCGACGCCAAGAAATGCAAGCTGCAGTTTGCTGAGGGACTTATGGCAAGCAGGGCATCGACATTCGCCTCGGTGACCTTGTCTGCGTTCCATGCACCTGGCCTCAGTGAACGGTATCATGGAATCCGGGTTCTGGTATCGCAGATTCAAGAGCAAAGGCACATCGATGTGTTCGGGTTTGGACTCGCTCTGGGGAGGGATGGGGGAGGGGAGGGGAAACAGCTCACACATCCACGGATTCGACACGCACACTCGCACAAGGCAGGCACTTGTTTATGACGGCGTGTCTCAAAGCACATCCACGGCTTTGGTCTCATGCACATGTGTACTTTGGTGCGTAATGCTGCGGATGAAGGCCCTTCCGGAACCGTGTCTGCAGACTGCGTTGCAGACGTGGCATCTCCAAGACTGGTCTGTCAGCCTTAACCTACTCGGTGGTCAGTCTGATGATGTAGCCGACAAGTCGCCGGAGCAAGCTGTAGAACACGTCGAAGTCCTCCAGTCGGGCCACTTCCACCTGCCAGTGTGCTAGTGTGAGACAAACCCACCCCGTGTCAAACGAGCTTCCCACCTTGATGACGCTTTGCTGTGCTTCCTGCATGCCGCAGTCTAGCATTCGGTCGAACACTGGGGAAGCAAGGCGCAGCAGAGCTGAACATGCCGACAGCGATGCCCCCTGCACTTGGTGTCGTGCAAAGACAAAAGCCATCCAACTAACTATGCTTCCTTCGGGTTGTTGAGCAACTTAGACTTAGTCACTTAGTGCTTAGGAAGCATATGATTCTCGTACAATCGAGTCAGCAACGCAAATGCTACTGATGAGCCAAAGGGTCCGCACCGAAGTCCAAGGTGATGTCGTTTAGGTGCCTTGTGCCGGCTGCTGACCCGTCCTTGTCAGTATCTGCCTGCTCTGGCACAAGCTTTTCCATGGCTCACCAAGTTTCAGCCACTTAGCCTCTCACACGCTGCAAACGCTGATGTATCCCATGGTCCCCCAGGACCGATTTGCGTGACACTTACATATTGCATTCGTTTTTGCCCTCTGTAAGATCCCGTCCATACAAACATACAGCATACATTCCTCTCTCTCTCTCTACATGTAGTGATGTAGCACTTCACCTATGCTTGAGCTGCTGCACGCTCCGAACATCTAGGCGCGAACCAATCAAAATAGACATTAGCATCTGTCATTTACTTGGTAGATTAAGGTCTCGCTGTGCCATGGCTCGAGTAGAGAAGTTGCCTAAAGTTTCTGTAAGCTAGGGATCAGGATCGCGCAGCCCCTGGGGATCGTGGCGATGCTCCAGGACGGGCGGTGGGTCGACAAATTCTACCCTGGCCGCAAACCACCTGTGCTTTGTTTCCCGACAGACACATGTACCTTCAACATCTAGTCCACAAAAAGTCAGATGGGCCTGGTGCCTCTCACGAATCCAGCTTCGTTATCTGCAGCATCCCGCATTCAAAACAACATGAAGCTTTGCACGGCCTCCGCTTAAATTTCCCTGCGTTCAACCTAAGTTGAAATTCGCTGTTCTCGTCCAAAACATGGTCTTGACCGTTTTTGGATCTCGAGGCTGAAGAGATTTTACGATGGAGCTGGTGGGAAAGGCAGTTTGAACTACTGCAGCATCGAGCTGGTATTGGGTTGTTTCCTTCTCATCAACCCGAAAGTCAACCATGAGGTTCAAAAGCGAGTTTGCTAGATGTTGTGGAATACATGTTGCAGGATTTGCCTGGAAGGATTGCCAGCGTCGCAGCCTCCTATGCCCCAAACCCGGCCCAAGCCTAAAATCTTCCACCCCAACTGTCCATACCACCCAGACTTTTGCGTCCACCCCGAGCTACCGAATCTCCGAGGCGCGTGAGCCCATGTCCACCATCAGCCCTTCTCACTGGTTCAGTCTCTGGGAACACATCTGGGGCGAAGCCAGAGGATTCCCTCCGCTCTCGTGCAGTCTCTAGCACAAATCCAAGTTGGGATTGCGCCTGGCCGCAGAACAAAGAAAATCCTTCCTGTCCCTCTTCCGGCTTTGTACCAACGAACTCCACAGCGGCCGGAATCGCAATGGAGCCGTAGTGTGGCGGCCAAGGCACCGCCACGTCGGCAAAACAAAGATGGCTTCTTGGGACAGCGTCCCCGGGGCCAGCAAAAACTGGCTTGCCAACTCCAAGATGGTCCAATTTCCTATTGCCACCCCTTTGATATAAACCGAGCTATGGCAAACCTCTGGGAACTCTGACATTCCTGATCAAATGCCTGGGCAGGAGTTGCCCGAAGCACCGACCTCTAGACATCTCTAAACTTAGGGCCTAAGCCCTGCCAGCACTGCAGGCGCCCCACATCGGGTCACACCATGCCGACTTTTGTGTCACTTCTTCTTAGCACCCTTTGGCTTTGTGAGGCATCTCGATGCTGCTGTAGTTGGTGGGGCCCATTGAAGCGAAATGCAGGTCTGGAGTGCTTGAGACAAAAATGCAGAAAGCTGTACTTGGTTTCGGGATCAAGTATTGCCTGCCCGAAGCCGTTACCCTAAGCCGGGAGCCAAGAGCAGCCCAAGAAGCTGCGAGGCTTTTACGCTTTAGGGGATAATGTCGCCTTCCAGCTCTTCGTTGAGATGCTGCTCAACTTCGTCCTCCTCTGCTTGACACCTGAGAGCCGAGTGGGCGAGCTCAAACATCGAAACACCGGAGTCTTCAAGAAAGTGACAATTTCCTGCTTCTGCCGTTCAAACTGGCAGCTGAACCGGGGGCTGCCGAATCTGTGTTCTCGGAATCCACAGCAGCTAACCCAAATTGCCCCTTTCTTCTTGAATGAGACCTGCAAGGTTCTCCGAGTCTGAACATCCCACCGTGCGTAGTGCGAAATCACTATCTGCGAGCTCAACAAATCAGCTGTTTCCCCATGAGTGACCTTGCGATGGCAACATGAAGCAGTAAACGAACAATAGATGTTGGTCGTGGAAAATCAAGGCAAACATGAAACCATGTCCAGCCGGGGCGCTCCAGGCTCATGGCTGCACCTTCTTGGATGAGGGCCCCAACGCTAGCCATCACGACCAAGGAGTCTGAAGCACATGAGGCCTTTGCAGAGTCTGCGGTGGATGCATAGTCACTCACACAACGAGTTGTCACACTTGAACTCTCGCACTCGGGCAGTCGTGTTTCCGACTCTTGCAAGTGTTAAAAGCGCTCTGACCACAGTTAGCCGTGATTAGCTCCTATGCAATGCACTCTCACAGCTCAGGATGGGTCGCCCCTTTCGGGAGTAGCTTTCAGCAAGCGTGCCGCCTAGCTTCGAAGAGTCTGAGGCTTCCTGTAGAAACGTGCTAGTATTGGTTTGCTGCCGACATGACGTAAGACACTGTGCCACACGCCTTGTCCGGCTTGTCCCGCTCGATGGGGCAAAGTGCAGCTACTCCAGCGAGCAAACTTGCAATGAACTCAAAGGTAGCGATGATGCCAGAAACTTGTACGACGCAAGCAGTTTCGGCTTCTCCTGGATGTGAGTCAAAGCGCTCCACACAAGGGCTGTGCTGAGCGGCGTTTGCGACGGCCATCAGACCACGCCCTGTAAACAAAGAAACCAGGCCCACGTCCAGCACGCAGGATGTAATGTCAGCTTGACGGTTTTGCTTGTCAGCAAGGTGCTTCTTGATCTTCTTCTCCATGTCCGCGTCTAGAACACGAAGCGGCGAAGGTGGCAGCGTCGCCAAGTGAGAATGGCTACTCATGTTTGCCACAGACCAAGAATCGTGGTGCCCGTGCAAACGTCGAAATGCAACCGTGTCCTCCGCTGCAGCGGTTTCAGGGCAGTTGTAGACCGCAATCAGCGGTGGCAGCATGGACGTCGGCCCTACAAACTAAAGCCCCTCGGTCTCCTGTTGTCTCCAACAACAACAACAACTACTAC